AAAACATGGCTTACCTCGTAAGGTGCTTACCTATTTTCCCAGTGGGTTGCCCCATCTACATACATACCTATATACATAAAGTGGTAGCTGTTTTTGTTCTTCGGACTAAACTCAAAAAGCACTGGATAGAGTTCAGTCAAATTGTCGGAAGTTATAGCTTTCACATATGGTCCTATTACCTATGGACTAACCACTAGAAAACTCGCTTGATGGCTCTGGATTCGAGTCATTTACAACTATATTTATTTATTCACCGATTTCGTTCAAATTCGCAATGTGAGCCACCTGTATGATGAATTCGTTTGCTAAAAATAGACCCGCTGTATGGTCGAGATATTTATAAAATCCTTATTTTTTAAACAACCTGGGCTCGAATCGTAACATCCGTTCACGGATCGAAAACGATACGAAAGAAAATTACGTGATATGTCAGGCAGTATAAGCTGAATGGAATATAAAGGACGTTCACGTATGTCATAATGCGAAATATGTGGTTTTACGTGACGAGTAATACGATAACGTATGTTACGATTCGAGCCCAGGCTGAAATTCACAATGCGTATTAATTTCATGATAAGCAATGGTTTTGCAGAAAAGGGACCCAAAGATGGCGCTGCAGCCATAATATATAGAAACCCCATGTGTTTGATCTGCTTTGGCCCTAAATTTATTTTATCCGAATTTAGTTTTCAGATGGCTAAATGAAATTGTGTAAGCGCACCTTTGTCTGATGCCCTCATACACCCTTCATGCGATCTTTCATTTACCTCCGATTAACGAAATTGATCGGAACGGCCGTTATTGCGGCAGTAAGACTCAAAGAAACCAGTTCATAATTATCAAGACGAATCATAAAAGTGGTGAATCGACAAGAAAAGATTCGACCGCATCCGTCCAAGAAGGAACACGATAGGCTTCATTTAAACGATATTCAAGATATCACATCACTCATTTAGCCGATGTACGGGAAAACTCTTCGTCTTGTTGGGTAACGTAGATTCTTGGCCCTACTATAACAGAAGACGCTCACCTGTGATCTTAGGTTTCCTTATAAGGACTTTTAGTAGCTTACGCATCGTACCTATGTTGTAGTTGCAAGAGCAAAGAAGATTATGCACGCTTGGCAGAGATTTCACAGGTGGAAATAAGACGATCGGCAAAGCCTATGTATGAGGAGGATTCTTCTCTTTAGTCGTTCAAATTTTTTTACTTTACATACCGTTTTTTCTTTTAAACGCTGCTTTTGCATTGGCGAAAGCAAAAGTTCTTATTAGGCGCCGCGAAGCAAGCAGAAGAAGAAGAGATGGACCTATTTACTTATCGACTATACAAGGCCTACTGTGAACATCATTTACACCGGTGCTTCCATATACCATATTATCTTCCATACCACTAATTGTTCGCATATGAGTTTTTCAATATAAACCTGTCGACTGTCCCTACTTGTCTCATATTAAGGCTGTTCAGGATCTTGTGCATGTGGTCGGAGATCGATATTAGCCGTCTCTATAACTTCGGCGTTGGCTAGCGCCGTTTTATCGACTGGATTGGTTAGTGGTTACCATACTTTTACTTTTATAAATGTCTTATAAGTATGCCCACGGCAACCCAACCTTATTAAGAGTGCTGGCGCAATTGTCTAAACTCGCAAAGTCGTGTTAGTTTTGAACCAGAATTTTGTTATTTTTAATGATTTCCATGCATTGGTTGTATGTACATATCGCGAAAGGTCTTCCAAAGTGTATCTACATAAAATTTGCTCTTTTCCTTGTTACGTTCAAACTTTCAAAGGGTACTTGCCTAGAAACAGTTTTTTCTGTTATCTGATAAATTTTAAACTTTGAGTTAATGCACTTTTCACGAACTCGTACGATATGCATACAGATGTTTACATTACCAACCGGCAGCTGGTGATCGTGGTTCAATGGCTCGTTGCTTCGCTCTCTTAGCTTCCACTCTCTAGTTGAATTTAATATTTTGTTTCTGTAGCCGGCAAGACCGGTATTCGGTGTACTCGCGCGCATAACACCCAGCGCTTTTCTACACATACAGATATCTTTAAATTTAAGGCATGCAAGGAGAGAAGTAGGTTATACGACTCATACGTAAGTTTGCTCAATTGCGAAACTTTACAATTACTCTGCTATTTGCTCTGCACTCTTTGCATTCCAGTTTTGCCACTTAACAACCATCGGTACTCACAAATTTTCATTATTTTATATGTGCTCTTGATAACAGCTTATGACTTTTGCTGAATGGTATTTAGTCTGCACATAAACGCCGTTGCGAATGAGTTCAACTTAGCAACAAAGTGCAATAATAAAGACAACACATCAACACCTATCGCCAAATGTCAAGTAAGTACACCTATCCTATTTAGTAATATTTATGTATAATAAGCACTTATGTACATATGTATGTAGGAGCATCCAGCACACTTACCCACAGTGTTGCCATCGGTGTGGGTGTAACACTCGCATCTGGCCTGGGTTACTACTGGTATTACCTGCAATGGAAGAAACGCAACGCAGTGCCTGAAAAATGGCGTCGTATTGGCACTTTGGACCAAATCAATTTATACCCCATTAAGTCGTGCGCCCCGTTAACACTAGATGCCAACGCAGCGTTTGCGTGCGATATGCTCGGCTTGATGCTTAATGGCTGTCGCGATCGCGCACTAATGGTGATCAACGCTTCAAATGAAATGATCACCGCGCGCGTTTATCCACGCATGGTATTGATTGCTACAAAGTTGGTTGGATTACAGCGGCTGCAATTGAGCGCACCTGGCATGGAGCCGATCGAGTTGGATTTGGGCGCTTTGAAAGCAGAGGGTGAGCAAATAAAAACAATGGTGTGGAGCACCACCGTATACGTGCGACCAGTCGGAGCTAAATATGACAAATGGTTATCCAATTATCTACTGAATAAGGGGAGTGGTATGCGACTGGCCCACTATCCATTGGAGAAACCCGTGAAGGCGATCAATTCACGCATGTCGCGTGAGCCATTCATTTTAAAGGAGGATCGTGTGAGTTAAAACCCCTAAAATTTTTATTATTTAATAATTATTTTTCGTTTTTCTTTTTTGTGACATGTTTACTCCCAAAGGGAACTTTTAATGACGCCACCAGCTATATGCTTATGAATTTGGCCTCGATTAAAGAACTAAACACACGCATACCCCGTTCGGTAGATCCATTGCAGTTTCGTGGAAGCTTCCACCTGAAAATGGACACCGACGAGCCATATGCCGAAGATCACTGGCAGTGGGTGAAGATTGGCGACGAGGTGATTTTCCGTGTAGTGGCACCCTGCACTCGCTGTATATTCCCGAATATAAATGTGGTGACAGCAGAGCGGGACCCCGATGGCGAACCGTTGAATACATTGAAGAAGTGAGTTGAAAATATACTCACAAAATGCATTTGTTATATGTATGTAAACATTTCTTTATGCATCTATTTAGGTATCGCTTGTTTGAAGGTTATAAATCGCCGGCACTTGGTATTCATCTGGGTTTACGCTTAGCAGGCACCATCAAGAAGAACGCAGTTGTGTATGTAGAAGATAAGTCGTAAAATAAAGAAGAAGAGTTATCTTAAATCATTTTTAATCATTCTTATATCATTGCATACGAAATTAGTTACTTACTTATTTGAATCAGCGTTTAATCATTATTTTACGATTTTTATTTTTTCGCTGAAAAGGAATAACTATTGCTGGTTCATATTTTTTTTTGCTCAAGAGATATTATTATTATAAAATTTTTATTTGTTTCGCTCAGCGATAAAATAACGATTATTTATAAATTTTAAAAGGCCATACCCACGCAACCCGCTGAAACTTTATAAAACTTAAATATTAACTATTTTATTTTATTCTTTATTGGCTAATCTCGAAAAATATAAATCTTTAAAAATTATAAAAGAATGTATAAAGAAAAATATCTGGTTGCGATCGACAGTATTTTTTGGTTTTGTTAATTAAAATTGAAAAATAGTGACTATTTTGCGGTCCTGGTACACATCAAGTATTATTTTACTTGGCTGAGTTCAACATAGAACGGCAGGCGTTACATCTTCCTGCTAACTGGTGCCAATAAGAACATCACGTGAAGCCAACAGCCTCATCATGTATCTCGAAACGAGCGTTCGTCTTGTCTGCCACACGAATCGTTCGTCACTTGGTACTTTGTAATTCGTTTTCGTCTGGCAACACGAAGACAGCTGATCGTTACGTTGCTTTCGTCTAGTTTGGAATTTTAAAAACAAACGAAAGGTTATAAGTCATCGTCGAGATAGGTCGTTCAGCCGAAATTTCAAACAAAATAAATGTAATCAATATAACAAAAAAATAATAATAAATGTTTTCACCAATTAAAAACCCACAACAACACATTTTGAGGTCATGATTCAAGAGATATACCAAAATCCGGATCTGGCAAGAGGAGGGCCAAGATTTGGTTCTGACAGAGTCAGGGTTCAGAAGCGATGGGACGGGATAATGGAAGAAGGAAAGCTTATACTTGGTAGAAAAATCCTGAACATCTAGTAACATAACCAAAAATACGTCATTGTAAAGTTAATACAGCTCATGATTCCATTATTTTCGATACTTACAAATATCTGAAGGCCTAAAAATCTTTTGTAGAATCTATATCTCGAACACTCCAAAGTCGTCTTCATCTGATTAGGAGGACATGGCGATAAATTTATAAATATATATATTGTCATTCCAACGAAGCACTAGCAGGTCGACTCCGGAGGTTTATGCACAAATCGAAGCCTAAAAATATGTACACATACCTAGAAACAAAATGTATTGAAATTTATACGTTTTGTTTATAGTTAGGAGTTAAATATTTTTAGGCATCGTTTTCTGCATAAACATCCTCAGTCTACCAGAGAGAGATTCTTCATTGTATTTCAATTCTGATTCCCGGGTAGACGAAATCTACTAGGACTTCTAAACTATAGCTATCAACACTAACCTACATAGTTGCCTAAATAAACGGGCCGATGGTTAAAGGCTATGATGTCGGCTTTATCGGAATACCCATTGCAGCTATAAAGCTTTTTTAATCATATCTTTTCGTTATAAACCCCATTTGCTATCGAAGTTGGCTTGAAAATCGGCAAATAGATGATGTGTGTAACTCCTGTCGCATTTAAATAGCCCAGCTGATAGACTATTGGCTTCGGCAGCTTTGTTATTTTTCATTTCATTTGCTTAAACTTCGTGATGATTTGTTAACGGAACATCACCTCCATAATCATTGATTGGTGGATACGAATCATGGTCATCTCTATAGTTGCCGTCACTGATACCATTCGGTAGGTTGGGCAAATGTTCCCTCAAGTTCTGGGCACCAGTCACCAGTTTGTCGTTCTTGTTCTTAGAAGAATATGGCCAGTACCTTCCGTAAGTCGTTATTCTGGAGGATTTTCGTCTCTCCTCTAGAGATGCTACAATGATTTTTTATTTGTTGCCAAAATTGTTTCGGTCGTTTCGGACGTGAAGGCTGAATTTTCCGATTGTTTGACCACAGTTATCTTCCTTGTCCACCATGAAATCATGATCGCCTTGCACAATTTAAAAAAAAAAAAAAAATCATAGAAATGGTTAATTAAATTATAAGTTTGTAGTCTTCATCCGAGGCTTGCTGAACTTTTCCACTGAAACCAGTTTTTATGTGCGCGGAATCTGCCATTCCCTTATATCACGGATTATTTTTTTTTTAACGTGGATCGCAATTTGGGAAATTAAAAGGGCTAGTTGTTTTAACAAATTTTGAATAAAATTATTTAAATGTTACGGCATATGCATATGTATGTAGATTCCTTAAAATTTAATATTATTATTTTTTTTTGTTAATAATCTAGGCTAAGTGCAATGTGTATGTATTAACTTCCGCTTTTTTTGTATCTACCTATATTGCACATAAATAGGATCACCAATATTTAGCATGCCACATTTATAAACATCAAAATAAACACCCATAGATGGTTCTTTTGGATTTTGGAGGAGGCGATATCTGAAAAATAATTTCTTTCATAAGTTTTATTTTCGAAGGCACTTTCTTCTTTTTTTTCTTAGAACTTACTTCTTTAACGTTTTAAGCGGTTCAAAATTGGTATCCCGCGTATAATCCTCCACATTTATATTGACCACAATACATCGTAAACAATCGGAATTATACCTTATGATCGTCGAGCGTTCTGCGTCATTACCGAATTTCAGCCACAACCAACGATCCTCATCATAAGGTGGTACATTTGGATTGCTATCGACTACCAGATTTCCGCGAAACTGTTGAAAGTCGACATGTTTATTTTGGCCACTGAGACGCTCATTAAGGTCATGTAACGAACTGTCATGTATTACCATAACTGGAAAAATGTCCTAAAATAGTTATATGTACATATGTATATAAATTATTTTGTGAATGCTTCGTCACTTTCAGTCTGAATTATTTATTGCCATTATGTTATACTCTCACCCTCGCTTCTCCCTTTGATGGTAACAATTTTACATACAAACGCAATCCGTTCTCACGCTGCACTACGGCACGCGAGAACCACTCATGGTGTTCGGCCTGACATTCAACTAAACGCTTGCCAATAGCATTTTTACATTTCTCAGGCGCTTTTAACGGCCCTCGCAACAACTCATTCAAGTCCACAATTAACGGCGGCATATTCGGTGCCTCCAGTCGCAATACCTTGTCTCTCACGATCACCGAACGTATGCTCAGCATACGCGGATAGGAGCCAGCATACACCACCCCACCAGACTCCTCGTAGGCAACCAAGCAACGCTCCCACAAATCGTTCGAATGCACCCCGAACTGAGAGCATTCTACTTTTTCCAGACGTACGGGAGCACCACCTTTGACAGGATAGAAATTTATGGCTTTTAGTGTACCAAGATATTGCCAATTATCGGCGTTGGGATGTCGTTTACTCCTGCGTAGGCGCATGCAGCATACCCACCAAAGCGAAACGCCACCCACCAAAGCGCCAATGCTAATGCCGAGCCAAGTGCTAATCTCCACGGAACGCATTTTTACACTGAGATGATGAAAAATTAACTGAGTAAAACAAACAAAATGAGTGCATATGACTTTGTATGTATGTATGTATGTATGTATGTACATTTGAAAGGTTCATTGAGCGCGTGAGCATTGACTTCACTGTTGAGTATCATTGTTTCCATGGTTCACTTAAGTGCATACATATATGTGTGTGTGTACTATATGTATATATACATATGTTTATACATGCATACACATATGTATTGATAAGACATATTTATTGACTCTGTAAAATTCTTGCCCAAAAAATAATTTAAGGGGGGGTTAGGTTAAAATATTATATTAAGCTTTTAAGCTGCGAGTGAGGTATATGGAAGGCGTCATGCGCGAATGTATGTAGTGAAGATATTTCCTTCAAATTTTATTTTCATTATTAAATTCTGAGAGTTAATTAATTTGGTACAAATTTGAGATCGGTAAGAAGTAATTTAGAATAAAATGTACACAAGTGGTGCTGGAGTCGAGATTCTTTGAGGTACAAGTACATACTCGATACTTTTCGTCCGATATAAAGTAAGTTTTAGGGATGTGCCGGATAGAAATTTTTCCCGATAACCGAATTTCGGATATCCTGTAAAAAATAAGAGCCAGATTCGGATATCTGACTGCTGCCCTTAATAAATTTGACAATATTTTTAGATTAGGTTTTTTCGTTTAGCTGAACTGTCCAATATGTAGTTCTTCTTCTTCTTTATTGGCGCTGTAACCGCCTAAGCGATTTTGGCCGAGTGCAAAACAGCACGCCAGTCTTTTCTCTTCGGTGCTAACTGACGCCAATTGGAAATGCCAAGTGAAGCCAAGTCCTTCTCCACCTGGTCCTTCCAACGCAGAGGAGGTCTTCCTCTTCCTCTGTTACCAGCATCGCGGCCCGCGTTGAGTACTTTCAGAGCAGGAGCGTTTCTGTTCATTCGAACGACATGGCCAAGCCAGCGGAGCCGCTGAATTTTAATTCGCTGCACTATGTCCATATCGTTGTAAAGCTCATACAGCTCATCCTTAAATCGTCTGCGATATTCGGCATCACCAAGAAAAGCACTAATGTTTTTTTTGATAGGGTTGCCACCTATTAATAAAGTTACTATATTCAATCATAATAAGCGTAGGCATCAGTTCTGCGCCATCACTGTGAAACGAAAAGACTTAGCCTCTACATGTGCAATAATGTATTATTTTTCTGAGTAGGGTTGCCACCTATTAAAAACTTGAAAGATTTTTGCCGTTCGTTGGATTAGAAAATTACATATCAGATGAAAGGGGCTGGCCTTCGCATGTACAATAGCTTTCGTTTTTTGAGTAGGGTTGCCACCTATTTAAAAATTACTATCTTCTATATATAGTATAAAGGAAAGTCGAGATATTTTGATCACGCTAATCTCAAAAACTACTGAACGGATTTATACGAGATTTTTGAAGTATAACCTGTATCGATAGGAATATTATCTTTAGTACTTTAAATTCCTATAGGATTGCCACCTGTCTAAAAACTTATTAGATCCGCACTCTTCGTTGGATTACAAGAAATGAGGTCTCAACTAAAAGGACTCAGCTTTTAGATGTTCAATATTGTATTACTTTTTTTAGTAGAGTTGCCACTTTTTTAAAAATTATAAGATCTTCACCGTTTGTTGGACTGAAAACTGAGGTACCAATTGCAATAAGCTTATATTTTCTTTTTGAGTGTGGTTGCCACTTATTTAAAAATTATGTATGTATAATACGCGGGGCACTTTTTGTTAATGAGATTAGGTTTGCACAGTTCATTCAATTTAAAAAAATTAGGTGTAAAAGGAAAGGCTTGACCTTCCGATTTGCAGTAAGGTTTTATTTTTTGAAGAGGGTTGCAACCTGTGTGAAAAATTATAAAAATGTGGGCTGTGCGTTAGATTACAAGAAATGAGGTGTCAAACGAGAGGGCTTGGCCTCCAGAAGCGCAATTATATATTATTTTTTAGTAGGGTTGCAACCTGTTTAGTTGTCAATCGCATCTTATTTAATATCTACACATTCAGCGCGTGCCGAAGCCTCGCTCATACGAGGCCGACTAATATTTATATAAAATAATCTATAGCGATCTTATATGTACATATCGATGGTTATCTGCAATAACGACTCAACTCAAAATTCCCAAAAACAAAACCCTTACCACTGTTAAGTGTTTCTTATCTCTAATCTATATCTAATCCTTATTAAAGTAAGAAGTAAGGATTACTAAAGTAAGTAGTAAGGATTAGACATGGATTAGGGGCCTGAGACACTTAATATTAGCAGGTTTTTTTGTTTTAACTGTGTCGTTATTGCAGAGGACCATCGATATGTAGCACTTTCCAAAAATCTCAACACACAGAATCGTCTGTATTGACATTGACGCTCGTTGCTTCTCCTGTAAAAAACGATTATTTCAGTTCAACGTAGAATTCACCAAGGCCGCGAGTCCACTGCTAGACATTCGCGCTTTCTCATAAAGTCAAGTAACTGTTGAATACCAAATTCAATAGAAGGTCGACACAATCTTGAATGAGCGATAAATACAAAAATGCATCAGCAACGGCGCATGAGCATCTAAAGTCCACTTTGCTCCCCCGTGTAGTTCCGCCCACTAATTCGTTCTAAAAAAACAACAAAAGTTGACATACATTTACATACATACAGATCGCTCATGTTTTGCAAAAGCGTATTAGTTAAAAATTTTTGTTTTTGATATACAAATTTTTACAGATCATACATACATATATATCCCTAACATATGTACATAATATCGAGCCCTATTCCTAGAGCATCTAGATACATTTCTGCAGCAAAAAGAAAATTTTGAAAAAATGTCGCTTACGTTATTTTGGCGGTTAGGGCTCGATATTATAACGGGTGATTTTTTTGAGGTTAGGATTTTCATGCATTAGTATTTG